GGGGGGGGGGACGGACAGCAACAAGAGGCCAGACGGCCGCGTCCTCATCAGGCGTTCCGGCCACCTCCCCAGGAGCTCCCTGGGGGACTGGGAACCACCCACTCGGGGAGCGGCCAGGAGGGGTCCAGGAGGAGAGCTGGCCACAGAAGTCAGCCGGGGGGGGGGAAGAGGCAGGGGGCTCAAGCCGACACACTGCAGAGGCTGCACAGTCTCTGCCGAGGGGCAGATCCAGTGGGGTACGGAACACCTGAGCCAGCCCCACGCATGCCTTGGGTCCCTCCCGGTCTGGTTTTCGGCCTCTTTGTGGGACCGGAATGGCGGATGACCTGTGCCGGGAGATGGATCCGGGGGAGGGGGTGGGGGACAAGCGACAATACTGTTGAGCCCGTCAGCCCTTTTGCCAACAGTGGCCACGGTAGCCACTTCTAGATTGCCTTTTGGGGTTGGGAGGTCCCGTCTTGCTGTGGATTCGGTCCTACCTCGAAGGTAGGTTTGAGGGGCTGGTGCTGGGGGACTTGCTGCTCAGCCCCTTGGCCTCTGACCTACAGGAGTCTGCAAGGTTCTACCTTGTTCCCTGTGTTTTTCAACATCTACATAAATCTTCCGGGGGGGGGGGTCATCTGGAGATTTAGGCTGAGTTGCCAGAAATATGTGTATGGCATTGAGCTCTATGGGGGCTGAGAGCGGCAGACTCTAATTCCCCCCTCCTCCTCCACATGCAGCCTGCTGGGTGACCTTGGGTCAATCACAAGTTCCCTTAGAACTCTCTCAGCCCCACCTACCTCCCAGGGTGTCTCTTGTGGGGAGAGGAAGGGAAGGAGATTGTAAACTGCTCTGAGACTCCGAGGGAAGGGTGGGGTATAAATCCAATCTCTTCTTCTTCTTCTTTTTCTCTGCCACTGAGCAATAATCTGGGAGAACCGGGTCTGATTCCCCACTTCTCCTCCACATGAAGCCAGCTGGGTGACCTTGGGTCAGTCACCGTTCTCTCACTCAGCCTCACCTGCCTCACGGGGGGTGTCTGTTGTGGGGAGAGGAAGGGGAGGAGATTGTCAGCCGCTCTGAGACTCCTTCGGGGAGTGAAGGGCCATGGGGGGTATAAGAACCAGCTCTTCTTCTTCTTCTTCTATCCCAGGGAGGCTGTGGAGACCCTGAGCAGGAAGTCCCTGGAGGCAGGTTGAGGGTGGGGGGGAGCGCTAAGAAGCTGAAACATCATCGTGACCACATGGAGATGCTGCTGGTGGGAAACGGGATCTCGCCTGTTCTGGGAGGGTTGCAGCAGGGAACGTGATTTTGCTGATTCACACAATACAGAATTCACGTGGCAGTTGTGTGACCACCACAGAGACTTCCCCTGGAGTGGCCCTGGAGGGACACTGTTTGCCCTGCTGTGGACACCGGGGTCTATCCGTCAGTACGTCCCCCTCCCCTCCCCAGTGGACAACCCCCAGGGGCTCCTCAGGGCTGCTTCAAGTGAGGGAAATGGCTGGGGGCCCCCGGGGGGAACGGCTTGGGGCTTGGGGCCTCCTGGTGTTGGTCTGAGCCCCTTTCATGGGTGTCTGGGAACTTTCCAAGCAGGGAACTCCCAGGACATAACTGTTGGAATTCCACATGGAAGACGCACGGATCTTGTAATGTGCGGATCCTCCTTCCTGGCCAAACCACACAGGGCACGGGGTGGAGGATTTAATTGCAAAAGGCAGGCCTGGCACTCAGGTCTTTATTAAGAGCTGTCCTGTCCCTCTGCGTGCATTTCCCTGATGGAAAGTGCCCGCCGCCCCTTCAGGGCTGACCCTCCGTCCCCCTCCCCCAGGGAGGCCCTGCCCGGCCCGGAGCTCCTCGTGGACCTGAGCAACGAGAAGGACGTCTTGATCCGCCCGCTTCACAGCAGCCTCCTCCTGGGGAAGAAGCACTGCTTTGAGGTACGGACTTACGGCAGCTCCTCAGGTGTCCCTGTCTACGGGGCGGGGCAGTGGTGGTGGTACCCAAGGCCTAGCCTGGGAGCCGTCCCCTCGGCCCTCGGGGGGTGGGGGGTGGGACCCGCGTCACATGCGCCCCTCTGCACCTGTGCACACGCAACCCCGGGCTCTTCCTTCCTCGCCTCACACGGCTTCCACGCCGGGGAGAGCCGCCGCCGCCGCTGCTGTGCTCTCCTTAGAGCTAACTTGGCCAGGCCAGAAGCCGTGAGGAACTCCTCCGGTAGTCTTGGGCCTGGTGCAGACCAGGGTAGGGCAAGGGCCCTTCTCAACGGGAGGCAGCCGTGGAAACACGCATGGTCCGGGGTGGGAGTCCCGGCTCAGGTGACACCACCAGGGCCTGCCCCCCCGCCCCACGCCCATCAACGGGTACAGCTGCAGGACGGACCCCTCTGCCTTGTCAGGAGGGAGGGCAGAGGAGAGGCTGGCTGAGGGCCGGCTGCCCCACGAACACGGCCCTTCCCCTTCCCAGGTGCTGAGTGCGGGAGGACGCCGCTGCTTCACTTGTGCATCGGCCACGGAGAGGACCCGCTGGATGGAGGACCTGCGCAGAGCTGTCCAGCCCAGTAAGGTAACAAAGGCCTCCCTCCCTCCCTCCCTCCCTCCCTCCCCTCCGTCCATCTCTTGTGGCTCTTGTGGTGAGTCAGGGCTCCCACCGTAACCAAGTTACTCACGTCTGTCCATTCTTTATCCCTGGTCCGAGTCTTGCCTCCCCTTCCCTGACCCCTTCAATGTGTAACGTGCCTCAAGTCAGACTCCTTAAGCTAGGCTGCCTGCTCCTCCAGATTTCCCTCTTCCTTCCTGTCCTTGGCCTTTCTTAGGTGCCCTGTTCTCCAAATAAAGCTAAAACGTCTCTCCTTCGTCCCATGCGCTGTGCTTGCTTGGACCAGCAGGTGTCGTGGACCATGACGCCCCTCCACAGGAACGGCTACATTTGTCTACCCGAAACACCCTGTGACTGACTTAGCTCCCCAAGGCCTGGATGCAGTAATCCCATTTAATGTCCACGTGGGAGACCCTGGTCCCCAAACCGGCGGGAATTCCCTCTGGACCCTCTCGCTCAAGAAGCCCCCACCTGCTGGGGTGCTCCAAAGGGCACGTGTCCTCGATGGCCTTTTGTCTAAATCCTCCAGGAGCTCCCTCACACCCAAGGTGGACTCTGGCCCAAGTCTGCGGATTAGAAGCCAAAGCCGCGCATCGAACTCCTCCTCCTCCTCCTCCTCCTCCTCCTTTAGCCTACCCCAGTCAGTATCAGCAAGGAAATACACAGCCCTTGTTGGAACATCGCAAGCACAACATACGCGGACCAGTTTGGGTGACAGACCCTTCTGGAGCAGCAGCTCTTACAGAGTTCTGGCCGAGGGCTCATGAAGTCTGAACACCACTGAAAAGCAAGAATACAGTAAGATTTTTAAAAATGCAGGATAAAACGATTGCACCCCCAGCTGGGAGGGGAAATACCTTGGAGAGCTCCGGAACGGGGGTGGGTGGGGGTGGGGGGGAGGTTCCTTTAAAAACTCCTTCCCTGCCCACACCTGTGCAATACAAATCTGGACAATATTTTAGAGGGGGTTACGCATCCGTGACGGTGACGTCAGGGACACCAGAGGTGGCTGTGTAGGGGTCCCGGGTCCAGGCTGCCAAGAAAGAAGCATTTGGCCGGGATCTGGCCTGTGGCAAACGCACTGGCAGCACATGGGAATCACGACGAGGCGCCCCAGGTGATGTGAGCCTGAAGGCCGTGCTCCGTTGAAGGAAGGGAGGCAAATCTCCCCCTGTGGCAGGGATGGTGGGTCAGGGAAAACCCCGGGAATTCACCACCTTCCTGTGGGAATGCTCTGGGTTTGCTGGCTGCCTGGCCCTTAAGGTGACGACCACTGCTGCTGTCCATTCCTTAACTGTCGTTTGCACAGAGGCAGACGGATCCCAAGGAAAGGAGGGCAGCTCCCCAGCCCACCCTGTCTGTGGCACCCAGAGTCAGGGACAACTGGGGGGGGGATTAAGCAAGGGGTGTCAAACATGCGGCCCGGGGGCCGGATCAGGCCCCCCCCCCGGAGGGCTTCTATTACGCCCGCAGTGGAAGCGGCTGTCTTCTGCTTCTTCTGCTGCTGCTGCTGCATCATCGTAGGTTTGCCGCTTACAGGTGCACACCTGAACAGCATACTCAAGATTGCAATAGCACAGACATTTTGATGCAATAATCCAGAGCAAGAGGTGTCAGTTATCCAACACTGTTAAATAAACAAAATATCACAAGAGTGCTCATGTTTTAAGCATGTTTTTATTTTAAGTTAAAAAAATCCCCTTTGTGTTTGTGTCCTTTATGAAGTTTATATCTCCGCTACCTGGCACCAATGTTCTCTCTAAGCTGTGGAGTCCCATGAGCCAAAATTCTACTTTGTGAGCAACTGGCATTAAATTTGTGAGCAGGCGACTTGGCTACTGCCTAAATTAGTTTGCTCTGGAGCCATCCTTCCTGAGCTAAGACAAAAATGCATGAGCCGGAGGCTAAAAAACTGTGAGCTAGCTCACACTAACTCAGCTTAGAGGGAACACTGCCTGGCACTACATTTTATGACACACGTGGCCCAGGGGCCCGACGAGGTCTCATTTATGTCAGATCCGGCCCTCATAACACATGAGTTCGACACACCTGGATTAAGACGTGCCTTAGAATGAATCCATACACGGCTTCTGAAAGTATTTTGCACCACCCCCCACTCTTTTAGTGCTCATGCGTGAAAGACATGACTGCAGCTTGGATCACGCTTGTGTCCAGGCTTGATGGGCAGCCCTCGCCTCCTCTTCCCTTCAGGTCTCGCAGCCGGACTCCCGTGGGCTTCGGAGCATCCCCAGCCCTTTCCCCAGCCCACCTGGTGGCGGGGAAGGAACCATAGAATGTTCATAGAATGTTAAGAGTCGGAACTGGGACCTTGCAGGTCATCTAGTCCAGCCCCCTGCTGCACTCTGCAGGAGCACAGCCGAAAGAGAGCCCTACAACATACCCAAAAGATGGTCATCCAGCCTCCGCTTGGAAACGTCCAGCAAAGGAGCCTCTGCCACCTCCCGAGGCAGACTGTTCCACTCTGACAGTTAGGACATTTCTCCGGATATTTAGCTGGTAACGACTCCCTTGTAATTTCCACCCGTTAGATCTAGTCTTGCAATCCAGAGCAAGAGAGAATAGATCTGCTCCATCTACTACATGGCAGCCCTTCAAATACTTGAAGACTGCAATCATGTCCCCTCTAAGACTTCTCCTTCCCAGGCTAAACAGACCCAACTCTTTCAGCCTTTCCTCATAAGATTTAGATTCCAACCCTCTCACCCTCTTGGATGCCCTCTTCTGGACACGCTCGAGCTTGTCAACATCCTTCCTAAAATGTGGTGCCCAAAACTGGACACAGGGCTCCAGGCAAGGGAAGGGAGGGCCACTGTGAAGGCCGGTAGCGGGCAGGTGGCTGTGGATCCCGACCACGGCGTGCTTTGGATGAGGGAATTGTTGGCCAGAGTCAGACCTTTCCCTTCTGGAGGTGGGGAATTGCAGGGACAAAAGATCCCTTAAAGAACAAGGAACAAACGCTGGTCCTGCAAAGCAGCAATTGTTGCTGTATTTACAGATGACCTGCGGAACTGGTTAGGCTCGCTATGACAGGGAGAAAGAGGCAAGCAAGAGATTGGCAGTCCCCCCTGCCCCCCCCCAGTGGATTACCCTTGAGAAACACTCCAGCCTCTCCTACCCGCAGGGCCTTATATTGGTCCGTATCAGGGTAAGCAACTGGGAGAGGTGACATTTCAGACAGGGAATGCCTCTTGTGGATTAGTGGGAGTGGAGGAGGATGTCCTGAGTGATGCTTCGGCCACTTTCTTCGGCACGTGTGGCTGATGCCTTCGTGTCCTTGGGGTCAGCAATGCCTGCAGGAAGAAGCTGACCGGCTATGAGTCCTCCTGTCTCAAGGCCAAGCTGTATGTGACCTTGCCCCTATGGCGGAGCACAGGGCAGACCTAACCGTGTAGTCTGGCCCATGGAGCAACGGGATGGCTTCACAGACATCTGAGAGGCCTGTCCTCCTGCAGTGGCCAACCTGTGCTGAGGCCTCCTTGGCTTTTCCTTCTCTTGGACTCGCCTCCTCTGTGGATCCTTGCCTTCAGTGCGGTTTGCTTGCCCTAAATTGCCTCTTTGTTCTTCTCACATCTGTCCCCACTGACTTCTCTGGACTTCTTCCTCCTTGTCCCTTGTCCCTGTGCTCACATGGCCTTAATCCTGTGGAACCTGCTTCCTGCCTCTCTGGGTTGAGAGAGATCCCGCGTTTCCCCTTCTCCTTGACTGGCTCCCTGTCCTACGTCATTCCTTGCAGCAGCTTGTCCTTAGCCCTTAGCCCTCTCCTTGCGCTGCTTCCCCAGGACAACTGTGAGCGGACGGAGCACATGCTGAGCCTTTGGGTGTACGAAGCACGGGACCTGGCTCCCAGGAGGCACTGCTTCTGTGAGCTGCGCCTGGATGGGGCCCTGTACGCCCGCACCACCACCAAGCCAACCAGCCCCGCCGGAGCTGTCTTCTGGGGCGAGCACTTTGACCTGAGGTCTCTGCCCCCAGCCGTGCAGCTGCAGGTCTGCCTGGTGCAGGAGGAAGAAGGGCAGAGACACAAGGGCGGCAGTGCCCTCGCCAGCGTGGCCCTCCCCCTCAGCGACCTCACTGCCGCACGCCAGCCCCTGGAGAAATGGTACCCTGTGGGCAGGGGCAAGCCCAGCGTGCCCGCGCTCCGTCTCCGGGGGCACCACTGCAGCATCCGCGTCCCGCCCATCGTGCAATACAAAGAGTTTGCCGAGTACCTCACCTTCCACTACCAGGAGCTGTGTGCCGCCTTGGAGCCCTCCCTCAGTGCCAGGGACAAGGAGGAGCTGGCAGGTGCCCTGGTGCGCATATTGCAGAGCACGGGCAAAGCCAAGGTACGTCTTTCTTTGCACAGGCCGAGGCTGCGTGGGCCACTGGGGTGCAACTGGGGACAGACTTTTGGCAGGTGCAGAGTCTAAACGTAGGACGAGAGGGGTTTAGCGGCTGAGACTGCCGCCTCTAACAAGACCCTGTGAAACTGGATGGGGGGGGGAGGCAGCAGGGAGGCCAGTGGCTGGCCCACTCATCGTCTCCTCTCTGACCCCGTAGGCCTTTCTCATCGACCTGGGCATTGCGGAACTCGATCGTTTCGATGAACGGGAAGCACTGATTTTCCGCGAGAACACCCTTGCCACCAAGGCGATCGATGAATACATGAAGCTGGTGGGGGGGCCCTACCTGCTGGACACGCTGAGTAAGCGAGGGGGGGCACCTGGCTGGTGCGGGGGGCGGCCAGGGAGGTGCTGCCAGGATAAATTAGTTGAATTGTTCTATGGCTGTGGGGGAAACTACTCCTCCCTCCCCAAGCCCTTTCAGCCTGGGTGCCACTTGGGCACTTTGTCAAACAATACAAACATACTCGGATCTGGGGGACTTCCTGCCACTGAAACGAGGGAGGGCTAAAGAAAGGGTCCTTAAGAGGAGTTTTATGTCTGTGGCGGTCGGAGCTCCTGAGCACCTTCCCCGTTTGGTCCTCGCTGAGACCTCTGCCAGCTGCCAAAGCTCCGGCTGGGCTATGGAGACACAGCTCGGTTGACCAGGTAAAAAGACTATACCGTGACCTCTTTCCACTGTTTAAAAAAGGACAGAACCCTGCCGCCTTTCGCCCATCACCACTCTCCCCAAGGAAACACTGATGCTTTCCTTGAAGAAGCCATTTAGTTTTCCATGGGCACGCTTCCTGTGGTTGTCCTATCTCTTGTTTCTGAGTGAGTGTGTCTTCATAAGAAACAAGCAGAAGTCCATCAGGGGCTATAAGCCACAAGGTATAGATAGGAGCTCTCGGTCTGGGGCAAGGGATGCTCTGTCTTCTTGGTGCTTGGGGGGGGGAGCAACAGTGGGGGGGGGGCTTCTAGTGTCCCGGCCCCACTGCTGGACCTCCTGAGGGCCCCTGGTATTTTTGGCCACTGTGTGACCCAGAGTGTTGGACTGGATGGGCCACTGGTCTGATCCAACATTGGCTTCTCTTATGTTCTTATGAGAGGGAATCGGATAAGCATATGGAACAGAGGTCCATCAGTGGCTCTTAGCCACAAGGTATAGACAGGAACTCTCAGTCTGGGGCAAGTGATGCTCTGTATTCTTGGTGCTTGGGGGGGGCAACAGTGGGAGGGCTTCTGGTGTCCTGGCCCCACTGCTGGACCTCCTGATGGCACCTGGTATTTTTGGCCACCGTGTGACACAGAGTGTTTGACTGGATGGGCCATTGGCTTGATCCAGCATTGGCTTCTTCTCTTATGTTCTTATTTTGAGATCCAGCATTGGCTTCTTCTCTTATGTTCTTATATGGAGCAGAGGTCCATCAGTGGCTATGAGCCACAAGGCGTAGGTAGGAACTCTCAGTCTGTGGGACAAGGGATGTTCTGTATTCTTGGTGCTTGAGGGGGTGGGAGCAACAGTGGGAGGGCTTCTAGTGTCCTGGCCGCACTGCTGGACCTCCTGATGGCACCTGGTGTTTTTGGCTACCGTGTGACAGAGTGTTGGACTGGAGGGGCCATTGGCCTGATCCAACATTGGCTTCACTTGTGTTCTTATGTTCTTAAGCGGCCACAGTCTGAATACAGGTGACCTTGTCGACACTCACCAGCTAAGAAAGTGAGTTCTGTAGCTGACGGCCTCATTTGAATGTATAGAAGTGTCATCAGGTGCTGTTAAAATGTCTGAAATACCAATAAGACGAGCGGCTGTTGGAACTGGAGGGGGGAGAAGGAGGAGGGCCCCCAAATGGAAGCGAAGCACCTGTCTTGTGCAGGAAACATCCCGTGTCCATTCCTTCCTCAGTATCTCCCATTTAAAAAGAGGAATGGGCTGCATAAGCCATTGATCTGCCTCAGAGATCCTTCCATTACTAAACACCGATGGACTCCCAGAAAAATCAGGGGGCAGCCCATACTGGTAGGCAGGGGACATTTTGTAGAAAAAGAGATGCAGGAGCTCATTAGCATACCTATTAGCATATAACTCATTAGCATATGCCACGCCCCCTGACATCACCGGAAGTGGTGTCAGGAGGGGGAGCAAAAGGGGTGGGTGGGAGGGAGGCCTCTTCAAAAGCCTCCCCTTCCCTTCCCCAGCAGATCTGCCAAGGTGGGGGGGGGAGAAGAGAGAAGGGGTTTGTTTAAACCCCTTCTCTCTAGAGTTGCGCTACAGTGACGGCACGATCTGTCCATTGTATTCTATGGGGCCAGCCCACAGGATACAATAGGAGATTGTGCTGCTGCTGCTGCGGTGCGACTCTAGAGAGAAGGAGTTTAAACTTTAAACCCCTTCTCTCTTCGCTTCCTCCGCAAGCCCGCTGGGAGCTGGGGGCAGGGCTTGCTGTTACCGCCATCTGTGCCTGCTCCTGGGAAGCGCCGCTCCGGCTTGCTCCAGCCCCAAATGACCCCTGCTGGTAGATCCTCTGTCGAGTTGGGAATGTTGAGTTGGCCACATCCAGAAGGGCTGTTCTTTTCAGAAGCCAATGTTGTGGGCCCAGGTGAGCCTCAGACACCTCGACAGCCACCACCGTGGCCCAACTGTAAGGATGGGGGTTTATTGCAGGTGATGTTGTAGCCGACCTGTACTCTTTGAAGAGGAGCTGCGAAGTGGACCCTGGCAAGTGTGCCCTGAGTGAGCTGGCTGACAACCGCAGCAACTTGCAACGGCTCTGCGAAGCGGTCTTCCAGAGGATCGACGGGTCCACCCAGTGAGTGCGTGAGGGGGCACGGGGTCATCGTGGGGCGCAGAACCCGGGGCGGTCCTTTCTGGCTCCCTTTATTTGTCATTTGCAGGCACAAAGGTGCAGCCTAGGAACCAAGAGCCACTCTGGGGGCCCCGGGCAAAGATTCCCTCCGGCCCCCTCACTCCAGCAAGGCCCCACCCAAAGGCCAGGCGAAAACAAATCCCATAGCCTAACAATTGGCTCTTTTTTGTATGCACCATTCCTCTTTTACTCTGATCATCACATTTCTGCCTTACTCTTCCCCCCCTGTGTATTTGCCCCCTCGTTGTAACTTCACAACTACCTTCTAAAACTGAGAGAGTGGCTGTTTTGAGGTCACATTCCCCCCTTTCCTTCTCCTCTGTAACGGGGCCATTGTGTCATCTAGAGTGGCACACCAGCATCACACCACCTGACTCCTCAGGGCTCCCGCCGCCCGCCCGAGTGCTCTCCTCCTCCTCCTTGACAGCCCTTCCTGCCGCTCAGGCAAGGAGCCTGCAGGCCTCCCCCCCCACCCCCGCCCCGTAAACTGGCTGCAGCAGGGCTCCGTTTGACTGAGACAGACCAAGATAGGGATCTGCGTTGGGCTGGTTTTTTACGAAACCCACACGTGGGAACAGGAATCCCCCCTCTGCACCGCATGCCGGTTTCACTTCCTTTGATTATCGGGTTTTATGGTAACTTCCACACTCCGAGCCACTTTCGAGTCCTTTGATCATCGGATTTTATTGTACCTTCTGCATAGATTCATGGCCGTTTTATGGCCATTCAGGGGTGACTTTGTAGTCAGTACAGTACCCCGAGGTATTTGAATGTTGTTTTGAGCTGCACTTTTCCCTCCCAGTTGAGAAAATGTGGAGCGAATATTAGATGCAGAATCGCCCTTAGTCTGTCTGCAGCAGTAGAAAAGAGCAAGAGTCCAGGAGCGCCTTCTCTAGACTAACACCATTTGTGGCAGGGGAGGAGCTTTCGTGAGTCCCTTCCTCTGCTAACTTCCTCAGGTGCCCTTTGACTGAGGCACCCCAGAGACTTGGCAGAGTGCCATTCCTCCTGCTCCCCTTCATGTGATGTTAAGGGGGGGGCAGCAGGGTTGCCAGGGAGTCTGAGAAACCCGGAGACCCTTCCCTGTTCCCAGAACAGATGGCTCGTTGGCGCCAGAACCTGTCCCTACCTGGACGTGCTCATATCCTGCAGAGCCACTTACCCCTCTAACCCCCTCTCCTTTTCTGCAGCTCTTTTCCAGTGGAGCTTAATGAGGTGTTCACCGCCTGGCACGAGGAATGCCAGGTGCGGGGCAAGGCCGGCATTGGCTGGCGGCTCATCTCGGCATCCCTTTTTCTGCGCTTCCTGTGCCCGGCCATCATGTCGCCCAGCCTGTTTGGCCTCACTCAGGAATACCCGGATGACGCCACCTCTCGCACCCTCATCTTGGTGGCCAAGGTGATCCAGAACCTGGCAAATTTCACCACGTAAGTCACCATAAGGGCCTGGCTGTGTCCATGGAAAAGGCTCGGAAATGGCTGGGGGGCGCCAATCCAGTCTGGCCTCCGAGCCAGTGGTGTTTCCAAGAAATTAGTAAATGTGCAATCTGGGTGGGATTCTGTGTGCAGACATTCTTATATGGATTAAAATGCATTTTGGGCCAGAAAGTGTTTAAAATCTTTCAGGATGTGCCAAAAGCAATACATACACATGACTGTTTTAAATACTCTATGGAGCATTCCAGAAACGTCACATTCCGTTTATATGAGAATTGCAAAACTAAGACGCATGAGGGGAGGGTCTGGAATCTGCATTATTTCTGAGACAGAGAGATGGACAAGGGGGGGATTACCCCCCCACACACACACACACTTCTATCCCCTCCAGTTGTGCACCTTTTGCTTGCCCTGAGAACTGCAGGGTAGAAAGACTTTCTGATTTTTCTTCCTGAGGCCCACCACACATTAAGCATCATCATAGCAATCATGTACAGAGTGACTTTAACAGCTGCCAAGTGGAGCCTCTGCATGCGCCTAACCCTTCTGGAGACGGTGAAGGGGGCAGAGGGAGGTTCGGGACACAAGAGCTCTACAGTCGTCTCCCCCCCCCCCATATTCTCATTCTCAGAAGAGCCCTATAGAGGCGGGATACTCTAAGGGTGCAGAACGAAGCCTGAGAGACAGGGGGCCTCACAGTGCATCCCCAAGGCAGAGTGTTACACCCTCTTGGGTTTTAGTCTGAGCGCCAAGAGTGACTGAGAGTGAAACGTCACCGTTCTGTTCCCTCTTTCTTGTGACTCCCGTTTCAGACTGTGGCAAACTGAAATGTGGCAAACGCCCTCCAGGCTTGAGTCTCCACCAGGGATGTCCGGCTGTCCTCGACCAGGGCCCCGGGGCCTTCTCGGTCCTGGCCCCGGCCAGGTGGAACTCTCTGCCAAAGGACACATCAGGGCCCTGCTGTGGGATCTTACGCATTTCCGCAGAGTCTATAAGGTGGAGGTCTTCCGGCAGGCGTTCGGTGGAGGGCAGCAACAGTTTCTTCCCTGGCTGGCACCCTTCTCTCTCTCTCTCCCCCCCCGTCCTGAGTTCCCTTCCCCCCACCCAGAAAAAGGGGCTGGTACTCCGGAATTAAAAGGAGCTGCGGTGGCTCAAGTGGTTAAGACGCTGAACTGCAAGCTGTGGAAGGTCGGTCGTTCAGCAGTTCAAGACCCGAGTGTGCCGCATGACGGAGTGAGCTCCCGTCTCCGGCCCCAGCTCCTGCCAACCTAGCAGTTCAAAAGCAAGAAATTGCAAGATAAATAGGTACCACTTCAGTGGGAAGGTAACAGCGTTCCGTGCGCCTTGGTGTTTAGTCATGCCGGCCACATGACCACGGAAACGTCTTCGGACAGCGCTGGCTCTTCAGCTTTGAAACGGAGATGAGCACCACAACCCTAGAGTCAGATTTGACTGGCCTTCGAGCAAGGGAAACCTTTACCTTTAGTCCAGAATTGGGACAAATAATATTATTTTTTTATTTTTTATTTTGATTTATATCCCGCCTTGCCACAAAGCTGGCTCAAGGCAGCTAACAACATTATTTATTTATTTATTTTTATTTATTGCATTTTTACCCCACCCTCCCCACGAACCGGCTCAGGGTTAGGGTTAGGGTTAGGGTTAAAACAATAAATACATCAAAATACAGACTAAATGCAAACGACAGCCATTAACTGTGCCAATGATGATGTTGATAATAATAATGATGACGGCGGCGTACAATATACAGACAACAGCATTAACCAATCATACGGGCCGAGATGTGTTCCGGCAGCTCGTTCGTCCGTGTCGCATGCACCACTGGCCACTCATCAGCAGCGGCCCCTAGTTGACAGCTTGGTGGAAGAGTTCCGTTTTACAGGCCCTGTGAAACTGTAAAAGGTCCCACAGGGCCCTGATGTTATCCCGGAGCTCATTCCACCAGTGTGGAGCCACTGCTGAAAAGGCCCTGGCTCTAGTGGCAGCCAACTTTACATCTCTCGGGCCAGGAAGAGTCAGGTGGTTCTGTGTTCCTGACCTCAGTGCTCTTTGGGGAAATTAAAGGAAAACTGCCATCTTGGATCTATTATCTACATGGAAGTTTTTATTAAGTTATATACCTAATTTTAATGTTTCGTATTTTTAATAACATTACGTCTTGTACGTCACCCAGAGCCTGGCGTAAGCTAGGATACGGTGATGATATTGTTGTTGTTGTTGTTAATAATAATAATAATAATAATTATAATTGCAGAGGTAACATGATCAATTAGGCCCACTTTTGAGGGGGCATTTCCTTGACCAAACCACATGAAAACTATGTGTCTTTGGCTGAATTAAAGCAGTGCGCTAACCACTAGAAATCACAGCACTGTATGGTAAGTGAAAGTTCACGTAGACCTTCACTTCTCACAGGACAATGAAGGCAAACCAGTTTATTTATTGTTCCCCTGTCAGTGTGGAAACCTTGTATTTCCCAGACGATACTGTGACAGTGTTGCATTTAAAACCTTTATTTAACAATAATCCAATAATTCCAGATAGGCTTAACTAAAAAGTTATTAGATCCAGTTGGCCACTGGACTCTAAATTTGTTGTAAGGAGTTATTCGTGTGACACAGAAATTACCGACATAGATAAAGGCAATTGACATTACATGAGCATGTTTGGCATTCCTTCTCCACATAAATCAAATGGAATGCCCAAAAGGTGACTCACAAAGTAAAGAAAGGTAGCTCCTTGAAGCAAATCTTCTGAGAAGTTCCGGGAGGTGTTTGCCATCATGTGGTGGACAGAAAGGAACTGAGTGGGGGAGGCATGACCTCCCGCCCCGCCCCCATGCATGGTGCATCACTGGGGGGGGGGGAGTGGATTTTCGTGCCCTTTTTTTTTTTTTAGCTGTAGATAGAAGTTTCTGAACTCACGTTCTATGCAGGCACAAAACGCATCTGTGTGATACAGAGGGACTGTGAAGCCCTGCAAAAGCTTGCAGGGGTCATTTTCCCTTTGTTAACTTCCCCAGACTATTTCCCCTTTCTCTCCTCCTGGCAGCCCCCACATACCCTTCCTGCTCCCTGCTTCCTTCCTAGCCTTCCCACTCAGCAGCCGATCTTTCTCTTATCTCCCCCTCCCCGCCCCTGTCTTGTTGTTGTTGTTCAGTCGCACAGTCGAGTCCGACTCTTCACGACCCCATGGACGAGCTCTCTCCAGGCCTTCCGGTCTTCTGCCGTCCTCTGAAGTTGGCTCAACTTCATGTTCGTTGCATCGATGACACTGTCTAACCATCTCATCCTTTGCCGTCCCCGTCTTCTTTGGCCTTCAATCTTTCCCAGCATCAGGGTCTTCTCCAGTGAGTGCTCCCTTCTCATTTGGTGGCCAAAGTATTTGAGCTTCAGTTTCATTATCTGGCCTTCCAGGGAACAGTCAGGGTTGATTTCTTTGAGGATTGACTGATTTGTTCTTCTTGCAGTCCAAGGGACTCTCAAGAGTCTCCTCCAGCACCATAGTTCAAAAGAATCTATTCTTCGGCGCTCGGCCTTCCTTATAGTCCAGCTCTCGCAGCCAGCTCGGCCTTCCTTATAGTCCAACTCTCGCAGCCATACATGACTACTGGGAATACCATTGCTTTGACCATGCGGACTTTTGTTGGCAGGGTGATGTCTCTACTTTTTATCATGCTGTTTAGGTTCGCCATCGCTTTCCTCCCAAGGAGCAGGCGTCTTTTAATTTCATGGCTGCAGTCACAGTCTGCGGTGATCTGGGATCCCAGGAACGTGAAGTCTGTCACTACTTCCACAGCTTCCCCTTCTATTTGCCAAGGAGTGATGGGGCCGGATGCCATGATCTTAGTTTTTTTGATGTTGAGCTTCAAGCCCACTTTTGCGCTCTCCTCTTTTACTCTGAGCAAGAGGTTCTTTAGATCCTCTTCACTTTCAGCCATTAGAGTGGTATCATCTGCATATCTGAGGTTGTTGATCTTTTCCCCAGCAATCTTAATTCCCGCTTGTGATTCATCCAGGCCAGCATTTCGCATGATGTACTCTGCATATATATTAAATAAGCAAGGCGACAATATACATCCTTGTCGTACTCCTTTTCCTATGCTGAACCAATCAGTTGTTCCATATCCGGTTCTAACTGTCGCTTCTTGGCCCTTATACAGGTTTCTCAAGAGACATGTGAGGTGGTCTGGTACTCCCATCTCTTTAAGGACCTGCCATAGTTTGTTGTGATCCACACAGTCAAAGGCTTTAGCATAGTCAATGAAGCAGAAGTAGATATTTTTCTGGTACTCTCTTGCTTTCTCCATAATCCAGCGAATGTTGGCAATATGATCTCTCGTTCCTCTACCTCTTCGAAACCCAGCTTGTACTTCTGGTAGTTCTCTATCCACGTACTGTTGAAGCCTAGCTTGTAGGATCTTGAGCATGACCTTGCTAGCGTGTGATATGAGTGCAATTGTGCGATAGTTTGAACATTCCTTGGCATTGCCCTTCTTTGGGATTGGAATGTATACTGACCTTTTCCAATCCTGTGGCCACTGTTGCGTTTTCCAAATTTGCTGGCAAATGGAGTGCAGAACTTTAACAGCATCATCTTCTAAGACTTTGAATAGCTCAGCTGGAATACCATCACCTCCACTAGCTTTGTTGTTAGTAATGCTTTCTAAGGCCCATTTAACTTCACATTCCAGGATGTCTGGCTCAAGGTCAGTGATTATACCGTCGTGTTTGTCAAGGACATTGAGGTCTTTCTTGTATAGTTCTTCTGTGTATTCTTGCCATCTTTTCCTAATCTCTTCTGCTTCTGTTAGGTCCCTACCGTTTTTGTCCTTTATCATGGCCAGCTTTGCATGGAACGCTCCCTTGATTTCTCCAATTTTCTTGAAGAGATCTCTAGTCCTTCCCATTCTATTGTTTTCTTCTATTACTTTGCACTGTTCATTCAGGAAGGCCTCCTTATCTCTCCTTGCTGTTCTCTGGAAATCTGCGTTCAGTTGGGTAAATCTTTCCTTTTCGCCTTTGCCTTTCGCTTTCCTTCTTTCCTCTGCTATTTGTAAAGCCTCATCAGAAAGCCACTTTGCTTTCTTACATTTCTTTTTCTTTGGGATGGTGGTGATTGCTGCCTCCTGTACGATGTCACGAACCTCTGTCCATAGTTCTTCAGGCACTCTATCTATCAAATCCAGACCCTTGAATCTATTCTTCACCTCTACTGTATATTCATCAGGGATGCGATCTAGGTCAAACCTGAATGGCCTCGTGGTTTTCCCAATTTTCTTCAGTTTAAGTCTGAATTTTGCAATGAGTAGCTCATGATCTGAACCACAGTCAGCTCCAGGTCTTGTTTTTACTGACTGGATAGAGCTTCTCCATCTTTGACTGCAAATTATATAGTCAATCTGATTTCGGTGTTGCCCATCTGGTGATGTCCATGTGTAGAGTCGCCTCTTAGGTTGTTGGAAAAGGGTGTTCGCTATGACCAGTGTGTTCTCTTGACAAAACTCTGTTAACCTTTGCCCTGCTTCATTTTGCTTTCCAAGGCCAAACTTGTCTGTTATTCCAGTTACCTTTTGACTTCCTACTTTAGCATTCCAGTCCCCTATGATGATGAGGACATCATTTTTTGGTGTTAGTTCTAGGAGGTGTTGTAGGTCTTCATAGAACCGGTCCACTTCAGCCTCTTCTGCATCAGTGGTTGGGGCATAGACTTGGATTACTGTGATGTTGAATGGTTTGCCTTGGAATCGGACAGAAATCATTCTGTCATTTTTGAGATTGTATCCCAGTACTGCCTTTTGCACTCTCTTGTTGACTATAAAGGCCACACCATTTTTTCTACGAGATTCCTGGCCACAGTAGTAGATATAATGGTCTTCTGAGTTAAATTCGCCCATTCCTGTCCACTTTAGTTCACTGATTCCTAGGATATCGATGTTCAGTCTTGCCATCTCATTTTTGACCACGTCAAGCTTACCTTGATTCATAGATCTTACATTCCAGGTTCCTATGCAGTATTGTTCTTTGCAGCATCGGACTTTCCTTTCACCATCAGACACATCCACAACTGAGCGTCCTTTCGGCTTTGGCCCAGCCGCTTCACTCTTTCTGGGGTTACTTGTACTTGTCCTCTGCTCTTCCTCAGTAGCATATTGGACACCTTCCGACCTGAGGGGCTCATCTTCCGGCGTCATATCTTTTAGCCTTTTGATACTGTCCATGGGGTTTTCTTGGCAAACATACTGGAGTGGGTTGCCATTTCCTTCTCCAGGTGGATCACGCTTGGTCTGAGTTCTCTGCTTGTAGGCATCATTTATTTACTTAGTACATACCCCACCTTTTCCCACTAGGTGGAGGCAAAGCAGCTTATATCACAGCAGCCCTATGAGGCAGGTTAGGCGGAGAGGAGAGAGAGAAGGAAGCCCCTGCTATGTTCTAAGTCTTCACTGAGGCTTCATCCAGCAGTCAAATGTGCGTGGCTATAAGGGAAGATGTTTCCTCCTGACTCATCTTGCACCGCCTGGTACAAGACTGGCAAGGCTTCTCTCCAAGACAGATGGTTTAAAAGCCCTGCTGCATTCTACCCGTGACTTCTGTTTCTTATTCGCCCCGGTTTGTGTTCACCTGTTAAGTTCTGGAGATGTCTTAGCTGTGACATGATCTGCTTTGAGGAGGTCTCTGTGTGTGGAGAAGCGGCTCAGAAATCTCAAAGACCAGCAGGTCCCTCCGCCCCTCCTTTGAGCAGCAGCAGCAGCAGCAGCAGCCGTGCCCCTTGCAGCGGTGACGCCGTGGCCTTCTGTTTCCTGCAGGTTTGGGGAGAAAGAGGCCTACATGAGCTTCATGAACGGCTTCCTGGAGTGCAACTCGGACGCCATGACAGCATTCCTCGGCCGGGTCTCGAGTCCTGGCAGCACCATCCCCTTTGCAGATTACGGGGACTCCATTGACCTGGCCCTGGAGTTGTCCATCCTTCATTCCCTCCTCTGTGACATTTTCTCCCACCTGGAAGAGGTACTCCTCTCAGGGTTGCTGGCATCCCCGCCTGATGGGCTGGCCGGCCAGCACGCCCTATCCTCTCCTGGAATCACTCAGGGCTGGGATGCACCAGGCAGACCCCCGGGGTGAGCCAGCAGGGGTGACGCTGCCATGAGGCTTCCATGGGGGCAACGGCACCTTCACAAAGCCTCCCTGTCCCGGGATGCCTGGGGAACCTCCCCCCCCCTGTACACATGTGATGCTGCTTGCGCCAGAGTCACTTCTTCGCGTGTGGCTGCCTGCTGATTGGCCAGTGAAAAGGGGCGGTGGGGGCCACGCAGCACAGATATAGAACTTCCAGGAGTGTTGGGGGGGGGGGAGGTTTTTTCCCTCAGAAAAATCACAAATATATGCAATATCTTCCTACCAAACTGAAACTTATATTGTTCTAAAATTATTTATATTAGCATAATGTAATATTTGGCACAGTTATGGCATTTGGAAGTTGTGGCAGAACATGCCCGCTTTGGCCTGCAGGCCCCAATTCTGCCTTGCCCTCCTAGGGGCTGCCAACTCCCCCCCCCTTCAATAGAGGGGTTTCCCACTGAGGGGATCAGGACCTTCAGAGTCCCCCTTCCTAGCTCAGAGGCCTCGCCTCCGTGTCTCCCGCCAGCCCAGCGCTTGGCTACCACGGGGACGGATTAATGCCTGGGGCGCCCCTGGGGAGGGGGGGAATAAGCCAGTTGCCAACTGCTTGCCTTCCCCCTTCCTGGGGCTCCCCTTTGAAATAGTGTTTCTGAAACAGTGAGCGTCTGTGTGGTACAGAGAACCATTTCCAGAATCAGAATTTTAAATTATTTATTAAGCAATAAATGCTCACAAGCATACTTTTAGTGCCATGCCAGATTGAAGCAAGGAAGAACAAAAGATATTGGTAAAATGGAAATCCCCACTGCTGGACCTCCTGAGGGGGGCCCCTGGTGTTTCTGGCCACCGTGTGACCAGAAGGCCCATTGGCCTGATCCAACACTGGCTTCTCTTATGTTCTTATTCTCTGTCCCCCTCTCTAAAACATGGCCTAACTAGATGTTAGTTCTCTAAAGACCCTCCATCACCTTCAGGGTTAGTTCAGCTCTCTAGCCCAACCTGCTCCCATCCTCAGACAGGAGGCCTGTTCAGCGCAGCACCCCAAGGAAAAGAGAGACCACCTTCCCCTTGCAAGGCGGTTTTAACAAACCTGCATCTCCTCCCCCTTGACCCCAGTCAGCCCAGGTCAAGGGTTCCTGTGGTCTCCGGGGAGCCTCTTCCTGTAACCTGCCCAGAATTTGACATTCCCGACTCTCTGTTCCCGGCAAACAGAAGTGGGAAGTCTGCCCATTGTCTCCAGCCGGTCCTGTGAGCATTTCTTAAGAGGTCTGCCTGGAAAGCCACTGCCAGACTTCCTCTTTCCCAGCCTGTAGGGGGGGGGGGACTTTTAAAGCACCAACTTGCTGCTTGCCACTGATGGACCTCTGCTCCAGATGTTTGTCCAATTCCCTCTTGTAAGAACATGAGAGAAGCCCATGTTGGATCAGGCCAGTGGCCCCTCCAGTCCAACAATCTCTGTGTCACCCAGTGGCCAGAAATACCAGTGGCCATCAGGAGGTCCAGCAGTGGGGCCATGACACCAGAAGCCCTCTTACTTACTAACCCCCACCCCAAGCACCAAGAACACAGAGCATCCCTTGCCCCAGACTGAGAGTTCCTATCTATCCCTTGTGGCTCATAGCCACTGATGGACCTCTGCTCCAGATGCTTATCCAATTCCCTCTTGAAGCCACTGCTTCAAGATGCTTGTAGCCCCCACCACCTCCTGTGGCAGTGGATTCCATGTGCTCATCACTCTTTGGGTGAAGAAGGACTTCCTCTTATCCGTTCTAACCCAACCGCTCAGCAATTTCATGGAGTGCCCACAAGGAGTTCTTGTATTGTGAGAAAGGGAGAAAAGTACTTCTTTCTCCACCTGCTCTATCCCATGCACCTCAATCATGTGGGGATTTGGATTTGCATGAAGGGGGAGGGATGTATCCACCCATACTCTGAAAAATACATAAACAAAAACGGTCAGAACTGCTGAGAAGCTGTGAGCAGGACCTCCTGCTCTCCATGGCCACTTTGCTGGAAGGAGAGCAAACTCCTTCCCTCCTACTGGTCTGGCCAAGCAAGCCCCTCCCCTTCCCCTGCAATACGCTGCAGGACTTCTTTACATGGACAGATGTCTTCTCTGTTGCCTCTCAGCGGACCCAGAAGAGACTGGAGCCTCTGCCCACCATCCTGTGTGCCATCCAAAAGGGGACGCCCGTGCCCGTTTCTGTCCAGCTTGGCCCCATCGCAGAAGACAAGAGGTAACGAACTGCCCCTGTGGTGGTGGCCGGGGTCAGGAAGGGCTCCCCGAAGCCGTGAGAGGACAGAGTGGCTCACCCCGGGGACAGGAGGCCAAGGAGAAGGGAGGACTCAAGGACGGGTGGGTTTCAGTCACGCTCAGGGCCTGTGTGGCCACCTCCTCTGGCACCAGGAAGCAATTCTTTGAAATGTATTTGTTTGTTTCAGAATATTTCTCTGCCGCCCGGATGGTGAATGTGGATTGCGGTGGCAGTGATGGGGGGGGGGGCTGAGGGCCCATAAAAATCCCTGGCCAGGCCTTTAAATCCCCCCCCGCCCGTGTGCCCCTCTCCTAGCATCACACCCCCTGGCCCAAAAGAACCTTTCCCTCTGCTGATGTTGAAACGTCTAATGTAAAAATAAGGGAGTTGGACATAGTTTGCAAAATCTGCACACATTTTATGTGCATAATTTGAGTTTACAGCTGAGAACTTTTCCCCGAGATAGGGAGAACTTTCTCTGATTTGGGAGATCCTATTCAGATGACCACTCAGCCCTGAAGCTTGTCGGGAAGTGCTGGGTCAGTTCCTGTCTCCTGGACTAACTATTTTGTTGGGTCGTTGTGAAGGTGTGGAGGCAGGAAAGACCATATGTGCCACCCTGAACTCCCTGGAGGGAGTGAGGGACGAAAATATAGTGGATGGAGGCAGCATTCTGTAGAGTGCCGCCGTCTCTGTGAGCACGAGAGAGCTGGGCCTCCTCCTCTCCTTTTGGGTGGGAGAGCATCTGGCTGGAGCAGGACATCGGCTTCACTTTTGAGGCTTGTAGTGGAATGTGCCTTGCATGGCTCTGGAGGAATAGCCACTGGCCAACTGCCTGCCTTTCCCCTGGGGCTCCTTTTAAAATAGTGTGTCCAAGATGGTTGAGGTCTGTGTGGTACAGAGAACCACTGCCAGCAGAAAAAGTGACAAACTATTCATTAAAAAGAAAATGTTCACAAGTGTACTTTTAACACAGCACCAGATTGAGAAAGAGATACAAAAGAAATAGGTAAAATGCAAATCCTCTGTCCCTCTCTCTATACATGCCCTATCAGATCTTAAAATATAGGACAGGCTGTTTAGGCTAGGAGTTCTAGATCTCTACAGAGTGTCCATTACCTTAAAGCTCGCTCCAGCTGTGTAGGAGAGCACATGGTCAGTGGCTGCCTTTCCTGTGGAGAGGTCTGTGTGTCCACTCCTGGACTCAGCACCCAAGGGAAAGGAGACCTCCTTCCTGCTGCAAGGAGTTTTTTTTTATCATATCTGTTTCTCCACCCACTGACCAGGTCACACCAGGTCAAAGAGGCTTTTCCTGGAGATCTCCAGGAATCTCCTTCCTGAAGACTCTCTAGCATTTAACACCTCCAAATCTCTGTTTCCTGCTTGGGGAAAGGGGAAGATCTTGACCCACCCATTATCTCTTCTGCTAGATCTATTAGCCTGCTGAATCTATTTGCATTTGTGTGGAGGTAGGCTGAGGTACGTCTGGGAAGCAATTGCACCAGCTCCCCCGCCCCATGCCTCTTTTCTGCCCAGAGGAGGGGGAAAAACTTCTTCACAGGGCTCGTGCCATGGGCTGCTTTGGGGTCATGCCTCTTCTTCACGGGGCCCACGGGACTCCCCCTTTCTCTGTTTCAGAGGGGCAGAACACCAGAAGCCAGGATTTGTGCCACCACGGGAACTGGGGAAGCACAATCCTCTGATCAAGAGCCACTCCATGAACAACATCCAGAAGGTCCGGGGCAAGGAAGAGCCAACGGCCCCTTCTCCCCGAACCAGGACGAGCAAAGTGCAGCGCACCCAGAGCGTTCCCACCCACAGCAAGGCCGCCCGGCACATGCGCAAGCAAGGCAGCACGGAGCAGGTGGCCAAGGGCCGGGAGGGTGGCCCCTGGCACGGAACCTCCCACCCATGCGGTGGCAGTGGCAGCAGCAGCAGCCAGGCCTCCCGGGTAATTACGCTGGGCTTCCCAGCCAAGCTCCCCAACCCTTCGAGCAGCAGCAGCCCGGTCGATCCCCAGCTGCTTCCAGCTCCGCAGTTCCCGGGGCAAGGCGCAGAGGGGGCCACCTGGGCTCTCAAGGGGGCAGACTACAGCCCCACGGTCAGGATGTTGTCATGGCCTGAAGGGCACCTTGGCTCTCCTTGCTTTTCTGGGCCTCCAGGAAGGGCTCGGGAGAAAGGTGCCCCTCCAGGCGTGCTCCGGCTTGTGGGTTAGGTCACGTGATGTGAGCTGGGCCAGACAGGCTCTGTCACCTCCCTCTCTCGTTCCTGTGACCCGAGGGTTCCCCCCCCCCAGAACCCGCCTGATCACCTTGCCCTGTGTGCTCCAGGAGTGTCCGAAGGGGCCCCTGACGGGATCCCTGCCCCGGAAGCCCACCGTTCCCTGGCTGCGGCACTCGGAAGAGGCGGCGGCGGCGGCCACACGAGGTGGCTTCTATGCTGTGCAGCCACTGGAACAGGTAACGCCTCCTCCTCGTGCCTCTCCTCCTCCTGTCATTCGTACCCCTTGAAAGAGACAGCCCGGGAAGTGGGCTTGCCCCGGTGTGTGTGTGTGTGGGGGGGGTGCGTGCCAATGTTCCCTCTAAGCTGTGGAGTCCTTGTGAGCAAAAATTCTACTTTGTGAGCTCCTGGCATTAAGGTTGTGAGCGAGCGATTTGGCTGCTGCATGAATTAGTTTGCTCTGGAGCCCCATCCTTCCTGAGCGGAGACAAAAGTGTGTGAGCCGGAGGCTAAAAAACTGTGAGCTAGCTCACACTAACTCACGCTTAGAGGGAACACTCGTGTGTGTCTGTGTGTGTGTGTGTGTCCCGCCACCAGTTATAGGGCTCCTGAGTGTCCTGGAGAAGAAGAGTGTCACGGAAGCCTCATAGGAGCGTACGCCCAGACCAGGTTCCGCTCCCCATGTCCACGCGTGACCCCTCGTGGCTGAACTTCTTCATCCAGCCCAGCTCTGCCTTCCAGGCAGAACCACGTGTCACAAGAAGGGAACCAAAATGGGGTAGAGTGGTGTCTCTGTGTGTGTGCTAAGCTCATGTTTTCTTCCAGCCAGATTTGGACATGGGGGGCTTTTGTGCCCGGGGGGGGGGGCGGCATGTGGGAAAGTTGGAGGGGCTGTTCTCTCTGCCAAACCCTCACTGACTCCCTCTGAAGTTCTCCCTGTCCCACCTGCTTCAGTCAGTTTTTTGCTTCAGAATTCCCAGCTAAAGGAGGAGGAGGAGGGGGGTTGGATTTATGCCCCATGGCCCTTCACTCAAGAGTCTCAGAGGGGCTGACAATCTCCTTCCCTTCCTCTCCCCACAACCCACCCTGTGAGGTAGGTGGGGCTGAGAGGGCTCTGAGAGAGCTGTGACTGACCCAAGGTCACCCAGCCGGCTGCATTTGGAGGAGGAGGAGGGGGGGAGTCAGACCTCCCGGTTCTCCAGATTAGACTCTGCCCCCCCCCCCCCGTTCACCCACAACCACCACACCGCAACTGGCTGGGAAGCAGGGAAGGAGTCCAGCAAGTGTCCCTGATACCAGCGCGATCCACACTCTCACAGCAATACAGTCACATCACAAATAGTCTCACTGGGGCAAGACCTGGAGCCGACTGTCCACTTAGGGTTAGTAGCCCCCTATGCAGCGCAAGGGCGTTCTCGGGCCCGCTCCTCTGGCTGGAGGCTGACTTTGGAGAGCCTCCTGGCTGCTTGGGAGGTGGGTGCGTTTTTACCCCCATGGATGTCTTTTATTTGTTCACGTTTTACCCTGCCTTGCACCCAGGACCACTTAGGCCAGTCAAGTCAGCCACCTGTGAAGCTCCCCCACGTTACCTGTTTTCTCTAAAAACCAGAGAGAGAGAGAGAAAGAGAGAGAGAGAGATTGGGACCGTGAGGGAAGGAGGGACTGGCCTGCGACGGCCGCTCCCTTTTTGCTCTGTAGGAGGAAGCGCACAAATACCCGTTATTATCAGCACGGACCAAAGAGCTGCCTCGGCAGAGGTAAAAGCTGAAACAGGCATTTCCTGATCTGTGGTTCAGGTTCTCGGAAGCTCTGCTGCCTCGTTCTCGAAAGAGAGAGACTTTTAATACAGATAGGTCCCTCCACCCATCCACGTCAACCTGTTTCCCAGCAGCAGAATTGGGGCTTTCTTTTCAATGTAGGGCCCCGTGCACCCAGTGGAATGACCGGTGGATGGAACACAGACGGTGATCTGGCTCGAAGGCTTCGGCCCTGACGAGTCCCCATCAGTGAGAGCGGAGTAGGCCCTCCCCTCGGCGGCTTACAATCTCCTGCGTGGTGCCCCTGAAGTCCCGCCTGGGATCCCTGCCGCCACCTCTCGGGCCACGGCCACCGGTGGCAACAGCGTCTCGGGGGGGGGGCTCCTCTTGCTGCAGAGGCCAGGGTGGTGGTGGTCTGACGGGCAGGGCCGGCTCACTCACTAGGCAAACTAGGCGATCGCCTAGAGCGGGATGGCCCTTAGGGGCACCAAACTGCACCCGGCCCCGTACTCTGGGAGTTTCTTGATTATTTGTGTTTTTCATTCTTCCCAAAATGCATTTATTTTGGAAAATTGGTGGGCACACGGGGGGGGGGGCATAAGGCATCCTCGCCTAGGGTGCAAAATAAGCTGGAGCCGGCCCTGCTGACAGGTGCCCTTGTGCCTCCCCTACAGTACGGGAGGCAGGTGGAAGAGATGCGGCAGGAGCTGGCCTCAGCCAAGGAGAAGCAGCGACGCTGTGAGGAGCAAGTGGAGAGGCTGGCTGCCCAGAACCAAGGCCTCATGGAAGAGCAGGCCCGGTCTCAGGAGCGAGGAGAGGCGCTCTGCAAGAGGCTGGAAGACGCCGAGAGCGGCTACGCACAGCTCAACAGCAGGTTAAAACGCCCCCCCCACGCCCCCCAGTAGTCTGCGCACCGTCTCAGAGGACAGCCAGAGCCCCAAAGGATCTCCCACCCTTCAGCCCCGTGGTGGGCTTGGGTGGCTGAGCCGGTTCCCACCCGTGCAGGGGGCCCGGGGAGTGGCCAGGGTCAGCGTTCCAGGTGCACTCCGGGTGGCGGGGGGGGGCCATCTCCTCTTCACCTGGCAAAAGAAGCCCTGGCGGCGGCGGGGGGGGGCTGCCCCAGGCCAACCAGGGGGCCCCTGGCGGGGTGTGGGGAAGTGGGGGCTGAGCTCCACCCGGGGCCTCTCTTCTCTTGCAGGCTGTCAGCGGTGGAGAGCAGCTGGAGGAAAGGCCGGGAGAAGCTTCAGCGCACAGAAGAGAGGGCCAGAGATCTGGTGAGAGCCGCCTGGAGGGACCCGCGGGGGGGGGGAGGCCCGGAACAAGCG